TTAATACCACTATTATTCAAATTTATACACCAAACACTAAAGCCAGTGAGGATGAAATGAAAGAATTCTACCAGCTTTTTCAATCTGAAATTGATCAAACATGCAATCAAGATGTATTGATCAGTACTGGTGATTGGAATGCAAAGGTTGGGAGCAAAGAGGAAGGATCAGTAGTTGGAAAATATAGCCATAGTGATAAAAATGATGTTGGAGAATGTGTTATAAAAGTCTGCAAAACCAACGATTTATTCATTTCAAATACCTTCTTTAGACAGCATAACAGACAACTATACACATGGTCCTCACAGGATGAAATACACAAAAATCAAATTGACTACATCTGCAGAAAGAGATGATGGAAAAGCTCCATATCATCAGTGAAATCAATGCCAGAGGCAGACTGTGGATCAGGCCATCAATTGCTTTTATATGCAAATTCACACTGAAGCTGAAGAAAATGAAAACAAGTCCACGGGAGCCAAAATATGACATTGAATATATCCTACCTGAATTTAAAGATCATCTGAAGAACAGATTTGACACATTAAACACTAAAGACCAAAGACCAGAAGAGTTGTGGGATGACATCAAGAAAATCATGCATGAAGAAAGCAAAAATTCATTGAGAGTCTTTCCCTTGGTCTCAGATCCAGTGGCAGCGAGGTTTTATGCTCAGCCATAGCCAAGATAAAGACACGGGACTTTCGCGGCAAGAAGAAGGAGGAGCTGCTGAAACAGCTGGATGACCTGAAGGCGGAGTTTTCCCAGCTGTTCATCGCCAAAGTCGCTGGCGGTGCGGCGTCCAAGGTCTCTAAAATCCGAGTTCTCCGCAAACCCATTGCCCGGGTTCTAACTGTCATCAACCAGACTCAGAAGGAGAACCTCAGGAAGTTCCACAAGGGTAGGAAGTACAAACCCCTGAATCTGTGGCCCAAGAAAATGCGCCACAGACTCAACAAGCACAAGGAGAACCTGAAGACCAAGAAACAGCAGCGGAAGGAGGGGCTACACCCACTGCAGAAGTATGCCTTCAAGGCCTGAGCATCTTACATCAATAAACACAAACTGACTGAAAACACACACACACACATCATTGAGAAGACAAGAAAGAAGAAAAAGGTCAAAATGGATGTCAAAATAGACACTGAAACTTTGTCTCCAGTGTAGAGATGCTAAAGCAAATGGAAGAAATGAGGAGGTCCCAGAGCTGAAAAGAAATTTCAAAGATCATCTCCAGAAGATAAAGCCAAATATTACAACAAAATGTTCAAAGATCTGGAGTTAGAAAACCAAAAAGGAAGAACATGTTCAGCATTTCTGAAGCTGGGAGAACTAAAGAAAAAATTCAATCCTTGACTTTCAGTATTGAAAGAATCTCTGGGAAAATTATTGAATGATGCAGAAAACATCAAAAGAAGATGGAAGTAATACACAGAGTCATTGTTCCAAAAGGAAATGGTTAATGTTCAACCGTTTCAAGAGGTAGTATATGATCATGAGTCAATGGTACTGAAGGAGAAAGTCCAAGTTGCATTGAAGGATTTGGCAAAGAACAAGGCAACAGGAATTGATGTAATAAAAATTGAAATCTTTCAGAAAGTGAGGTGGCACAGGAGGCATTCACTCATCTCTGCCAAGAAATTTGGAAGACAATTATCTGGCCCACTGTTTTGAAGAGATCGATATCTGTGCCCATTCCAAAGAGGGGTGACCCAAAGGAATGTGGGAATCATTGGACAATCTCTTTGATATCCCATGAGAGTAAAGTTTTAGTAAAGGTAATACAGAAATGGCTGCAAGCATACATTGACAGAGAACTTCCAGAGGTTCAAGCAGGATTCAGAAGAGGCCTTGGAATGAGGGATATCATTGCTGATGTCCGATGGATCTTGGCTGAAAGCAGAGACTATCAGAAAGATGTTTACCTATGCTTTATTGACTACGCATATGCTTTCAAGTATGTGGACCATGACGAGCTGTGGACAACATTGTGAAGTATGAGTATTCTGGAACACTTAATTGTGCTCATGAGGAATCTGTACCTGGACTAAGGGGCAGTTGTTCGAAAAGAACATGGGAACACTGAATGGTTTAAAATTTTAAATGGTGTGCGACAAGGTTGTATTCCTTCACCATAATTATTTAACCTGTGTGCTGAGCAAATAATCCGAGAAGCTGGGTTATATGAAGAAAAACGTGGCATCAGCATTGGAGGAAGACTCATTAACAACCTACGATATGCAGATGATACAACTTTGCTTGCTGAAAGTGAAGAGGACTTAAAATATTTACTGATGAAGATCAAAGAGCACAGCCTTCAGTATGGATTACATCTCAATGTTAAGAAAACAAAAATCCTCACCCTGAACCAATGAACAGCAGTTTTATCAATGGAGAAAAGATTGAAGTTGTCAAAGACTTCATTCTTCTTGGATCAACTTTTAACACTCACAAAAGCAGCAGTCAAGAAGTCAAATGAAGTATTGCATTAGGCAAATCTGCTACACAAGAGCTTTTAAAAGTGTTGATGAGTAAAGAAGTCAGCTTGAGGACTAAAGTGTGCTTGACCCAAGCTGTCATATTTTCAATGATCTCATATGCATATAAAACTTGGACAGTGAATAAGGAAGACCATAGAAGAATTGATGCTTTTGAGTTATGGTGTTGGAGGAGAATATTGAAAGTGCCATGTTCTGTCAAAAAAAAAACAAAAAACCCCAACAGATCTGTCTGGGAAGAAGTGCAGCCAGAGTGCTCCTTGGAGGCCAAGATGGCCAAACTTTGTCTCTCATACTTTGGATACATTGTCTGGAGGGAACAGTCACTGAAGAAGGATATCATATTTGATAAGGTGGAGGGTCAGAGAAAAAGAGGAAGACCCCTAATGAGATGGATTGGCCAAGTATAGCATCCATGGACTCAGTTGTGGCAACAATAGTGAGGTTGGCTCAGGATTGGGCAGTGTTTCATTCTGCTATACATCAGTTCACTATGGATTGGTACCAACTCAATGGCACCTAACAACAATAACAACAACGACTCTTAGCTGATAAAAATACCCTGTTAATGACTGGTTGATATGTATACTTGCCTTTAAATTTAGTTTTGAATATTGGAGGGCTTACTTCATTTAACAAAAACGCTGCAATATATTGTCCCACATTGTTCTCAGTTGCCACCCTCAGATCAGTTCTGATTCATTGCAACCATCTGAACACTGGAATGAAACATTGTCAGGTTGTGCCATCTTCAAAATCGTTGCTATTTGAACCCATCGTTGCAGTCACTGTGTCAGTCCATCTACTTATGGGTCTTCTTCTCTTTTATGACCCTCTACTTTATCAAGCATTGTGTCCTTCTTCAAGGACAATTTCCTTCTGATAACATGTCCAAAGTATGTGAGACAAATTCTCCCTATACTTTTTTCCAAGAGACAATCTGATTTTACTTCATTCAAGATAAACATTTATTCTTTTGAAGGTCGTTAATATTCAATATTGTTCATCAGCATCATAATTCAAAGGAATCAATTCTTCTTTAGCCTTTCTTATTTATTACCCAGCTTTTATATGTATATGAAGTAATTGAAAATACCATAACTTGGGGTTGGCACACCTTAGTATTCGAAGTGATTGCTTTGCTTTGCTAATACTTTAAAGAGATCTTTTGGAACAGATTTACCCAATGCAGTACATGATTTAATTTCTTAACTGCTGTTTTCAAATGTGTTGATTGTGGATATAAGTAAAATGAAATCCTTTACACCTTCCATATTTTCTCCATGTCTCATGATTCTGCTTCATAATCTAGTTGTATTTTAATTAGCTTTAGTTTAGCTTATTTACATTAAGCTAAAATTAATATTGAAGATTATATTATTTGATGTCCATCTGTAAGTGCTTCAAGTCTTTTTTGCTTTTTAAGAAAAGTTGAGTGATATGTGGTATTTTTTTTTACATAGTTCAACTTCTCGGAATATTAACTCAGCATACAGAGTGAGTAAATATGATGAACTGAATGTAGTCTGACATATACTTTTCCTGATTTTAAATCATTAAGTAGCTGTGTTCAAAGAACTGTTTCTTGGTACAGGTTACTCATTGTACAGGTTACTCATGAGCACAATTATGTTTTCTGGAACTCTCATTCTTCACAATGTTATGTGTAGCATGTCATATACCACACAGTCAAATGCCTTTGTGTAATCAGCAAAATACTGGTGAATATCTTTCTAGTATTCTATGTTTTTCTCCATGATCCATCTGAAATCAGCAAAGATATCATGTGTTCTTGTCCTATTTGGAATCCATCTTGAATTTTTGCAGTTCCTTGTTGATGTACTTCTGCAACTATGATTTATTATCTTTAACAGTACTTACATATAACCAATTTTATTTTGATGAGGAGCCTTAGTAGTGCAATCAAGTACTAATATGATAGATGAAATTTTTGGATTGGAACCTATACTCCATGTGGGGAAATGATGTGATAGTCTGCTTTTATAAAGATTTACAGCTTTTGAACACTATGGGTCAGTTTCATGGCCACTATGAGGTTGAATCAGCTTAAAGGCAATGAGGTTTTGTATTCTTTCTTTAATATATAACTGTTTGTTACCCTATTTAGATATTTTAGCTGTTGATTTGGTTTCTGTGTATTCCACCTGGTGAAGTCCATGTGTATAATAATCTTTTATGGTCTTGCAAAATTCTAT